GATTTGTATGCTTTTTTTTTTTGGAATATAGGCAGGCAACCAAAGTCTCATAGTTTAACTAACTGCCATACACAATTTTCAACCCTGCTATCCGTATTTGTTCGTAAGAGATATACGAGTAAATTCTAGTATTTCTTTACCACTAGTCTGACTTCTTCATATCAGGACAGAACCTCGAAAATTTGCTTCATAACTTTTCAAGCTTCTTAAGCGGTCTTGAGCTATAGTCTTGGTGGTCAACTATATACGCTTAGATTCGGCAGTTAAAAACAAAGACCACTTCTGCAGTCTCTTCTTAATAATACCCTTCACAGTTACACTTTTTTTATAAAATAAAAAATACACTCAGTGATTCGAAGAAATTACTTATGGAGACTTTAATTAGTTGAATATTATATATTCGATAAGAGCTTGACACAAAATCTGAAGATCCGCAGAAGTATCCCTCATAACTTTTTGATGTGTCTATGCCTATTTAACTTTGAAAAAGTCGTAAAAAACGTTTACAGTTCTTGGTCTAATATAAATTCGGTGTCCGTTTCGATTATATACTTGTATACCTATTTGTCATGAGAATGGATTTGCTTTTATCTTATTTTTGTATCGATATTAATTTTTACCGTGAGAAGTTGGGACTTTATAAAATTAAGTATTTTTCAAGCTTTCCAGTTTAATTCTCTTTGCTTATGTTCATAAAAGAGTATAACAACAGAGTTTCTAACTAATCTATGTAGTTCAATAGGTCATTTTTGGATTATCAAGAAAAAGACACCGATGTCTACAGATCATCTGTGAATTATCAAAAAACGTTGCATTGAAAAATGCAAATATATTTTTTTTCAGTGTAAAGTTATGCATTTATCAAGGACTACATAAAAGTACTGACAGCCAGCGAAGAGTCCACTTTCTTTAATGACACTCTACTAAATAGGTGAACCTTGCACACATAATATTTACATACACACACACACGCACAAAACTCAAGTGGAAGAATAAAGCCGATAAACCGAGATACATACAATAGTAAAATATCATATATGCCATGTGGCAGCACCTCTAACGGACGGATAAAGAAAAATATAAACCATAGGCTAAAGAAAAGCAGAAGAGCCTACTATCTAAAGTGGATACTCTAATCTCAAGTTGAGGTTTACAAGCAAGTGTACCAAGGAGACCGAGCACCAACACGATTAGACAAGCAAATATACATACATACAGACATATTTATGTATTATGCATTTTTTTTTGTCAAATCCATTTGTGCAATTTAAGCAGCAGCTTTTTCGGTGTGAACTCCTGGCAGACAGAGAACGCAAAGAGCAAGGCAGTCGCTCACTATTACCGACGACAACGTCGCCGCCAAACAAGCTACCGCTGTCACTTACGAGCCACCGCAGCGGCAGGATGACAATCGCATCGCAACGCAATGGCGGCTTGTTGCTGACGCGCAGAAGAGCGACGGCATGAAAGAAGCGAAGGAAGCTCCAGCGGCAGCTTATGCAAATGAATGCCGCCAAAGCTGCAGAAACAAAGCGCGCAAATCATTTACATAATGAAAAAGCGTAAAAGGAAAAATGCCAAGAGGCAGTGGAGCGCAAACAAACGGCGGGCGGCATGTGGCATGTGTTATACATATGAGCCATGCGAATGATTGTGGACCACAATGAATGCATTCCACATCGCACTCGAGCAGGAAATTGTGCGCGCTCGCATAAATGTTGACTGACAAAAAGCTGAAACGGCTTTGCTTTTGTTTTTGTGTGCCGTACGTGGGATATTATGCCAAAATCAGTGAAGGAAGCGAAGGATGTTGCGGCAAACGAGGCACAAATATGCATAGGTATGTGTGTGCGCCTAAGTAGAAGAAGGTGGCTTGTAAAGTGACAGCGTTGTAATGTGTTGTTACAACAACAACAACAACAAGCACAACAACACCACTGTGTTGGAGTAGCAATCCAAAATTACAGTCAGAGGTACAAGTATGCCACACACACAACGCAACCAGTAAGCTCCGAACGTCAAACTGTCGACCTGTCTTGAACGTATGCAGCCTGTGTCATGTATGTTGCTGCCCCTAACCTCCAGCCAACCTGGCAGGCATCAACTGTCAGTGTCAAATGCACTTCGTCTTCGCATGCTGTTGCTCCCCCTACTATTGTCGCATTTGTTGCCGACCCCTTCTAACCGCAAAAATGCGTATTAAACACCTTCTATTTACACTGTCGACCAAGCGATTGTCAACCACCGCTTGCTTCCGGCTTGGTGCGGAGGGGTTTGAGAGCCCAACGAAACCGCAAACTGAATTGGAAATGTCATGGCAACAAAGCACTTTAATGCCGAGCAGAGTTGCATTGTGGTGGAGTGTAGAGCTTTGCCTACCGATATGTGAGGATCTATACTTATTGTGTGTACTAACTTATATTTAAAAGTAAATCATTGCAATTGAATTACTACAGTAGTGACTTCAATAATTTATTTACACACACCTGAAGTTGCTCTTTACATCAAACACAAGCTTTTATTATATTTCACTATTGCTGGTGAGATTCTTTATGCTAAAGGAGCCAAGGAAAGATCTTGCTGACAAGTTTGCCCCCAAAACACTTTCATTATATGAAGTTTAACTGAAAGTGTTTATCATAAAACCTTAGTAATGAGATTTTTGATGTCATCTTGCAAAACAATGAGCTTTCACTGAAAGCTTTTATCGAAAAACCTTTCTTTAAATACTTGATGTCTTCTGGCAAAAAAAATATCTTACTGTTGCTCCCAAAACACTGAGCTTTTATTTTAGAAGCTTTCACTGTAAGTTTTTGTCAGAACATCGTTTTATAATAGTCTCACGTTAAACTTATGCTGTTTCCAAGATTTGGTTTGAAACAATCTAAAAGAGCTTTCATAGCTTACAAATACGCCATGCTCAATATATGATACGCTCTTGGGTCCACAAAATGAATCTAGAAAAAGTTTTGTCATTGCTGTAAAGTAATGTAAGGTTATGTTGCCTTGGAGTCCAAATCTTCCCAACTCACGGCTGCAAATTTAATTTTAGTTTTTAAAAACCTAGAATTATTGGGATAATATTGTATATAAAGAAGTACGAAAATCTTTATTACGCAGTTCTTAAAAAGACCCAGTATTAGTCATATATGAATACTACCACAGTGATTACCATTATTTTATTTACTCACATAAAATATACGGACTCATCTATAGGAATCTTACGGTTACAATTAGCTCTAAATACACCAGAGTTTATTAAATAAAATGTAATACTGACACTTGATATCATAGATATAAGTTATAATTTTCTCAAAAAAAGGCATTTAAATTACATTTATGCAATAACATCTCCTCATTAAGCACTCTAGTCTCTCAGTGCCCAGTTTATTTTATACTGTTTTCTCTAGCTGTTGAAAACAAGCAATGAGTGTAGAAAAATCAGCCTAAAAAAAAAATGTAGATGATAATAGTTAATGACTAATCAAAATTTTGATTTTTGACAAAATGCCGACTTCTCTCTGAAAAAATTTAGCAGTAGAGTGGCTTGAAGCTCGAAATTCCTTCGATGATTACATGACAAATAATGATCAAATATATCTAGGGAGCTAATGTGAAAATTTCAAATTGGTCTATCTAATCATTTTTGAGAAATTTTGCTCACCGACTCTGAAAACAGTGTTCGAAAAAAATACGTTTAAAGTTTAGATGCCGATTACACTAAGTTCGAAATTAATACAAATAAGACCGAATCTCCGAAACTATTTGGCGGTTAAACTTTTATGAATTTTTAGAGAACATTCTTAAATATACATATGTACATTCAGCATGTGAGCAAAACAAGAAATCGATCTTTTGAATTTCACATATCGATATAAACCCTTAACAGCAGCCGCTTATACCTGTTGCCAAGACAAATTATTCGCATTCGAATTTTTTTCATATATCACCATAGAAAAAATAGAAGAAATGTATCTTATGTATAGCAGACACAGGCAGAGCAATATAACGGTGCTACTGAATATACATACGTATATAGAAGATAATAGGATCATGATCAGCATATAGATTTTAGTAAGCACGGTGTTCTTCAATCGGAAATGAGAGTAGAGAAAAAGAAGAATGTGTCTACAGGCAAATAAGTCTCTTATTTTTCATTTAGACACATTATGTATTGTAATATAAATAATTAAACATCCAGATGAATAAATTTGAATTATATATAAAAATTATATGTATGTATAACATGTACAAGTATATTTCACCTAGTATGTATATTTATGTATATAATAATTTTAAATATTTCAATCGCACCAAATACACCAAAAAAATGTGCACATATATATGTAGCTTTGTAGTCACCAAATCTCAATTTATTAAGCACATACCATTTGATTTTTTAAATTAGCTGCCAACCGCTCCTCATGACCCATGCAGTCAGTCACACTTGTTTTACAATTCGCAACTTGTCCCATCCCCTCTTTTTTATAATGAAAATTATTTGCACAAATTTACACCACTCACATTTTTGCTAACTTCACAATTTTCTTACTTTCTTCATCTACTTTTTTATCTCATCTTGTATTGAATCCAAATTAAATGAATTGTTTGCAAACACCACGTTTTACAATATAATAAACAAATAACAACAATTAATAATATAATGAAAATTTATAACAATTAATAAATGTACTAAAACAACAACAACAACAACAACACTACTACTATTACTTTTACAACAACTACAACAAACCAACCAAACAACTAACAAACATCACTACCAAAATACTTTCTAAATTATAACTGAAAATCATAACTTAAATTAAACAAAAAAATTAAAATTACTAAATTGATTGACAAATGCCAAAACGAAAATGCACAAACAAAAATTTAATTGAAAAAAAAATTCAAAAATACAAAAACAAAAAAACATCAATCAACCTTCTTCCATCGTCATCATCGTTGACTTTGTTTGTGTCGATGGAAACGCTTGATTGAAGGTTACCGGATTTTGTCGTTCACCTCAGGAAACCCGTAAATCCAGCCCGACTGGTTCTGTCACATCGTCAGTCTCGAATGCCGCACTGACACCGTCACGTCAGCTTACCGATGCTGAGAAATTGCGCAAGGTCATTTTGGAGTTGGTCGACACGGAACGTACTTATGTTAAGGTGAGTGGAATTTACTCAATATTTCTATATTCCTAGTATAAAATTATATATGTTCTATAAGAAGGGACTTATTTTTTCTTTTTTTTAACCTCTTGCGATGATTTTGGTTACATTTTATTTAAAATCCATTCCAAACTGACGAAAACTCTGCCTGACGTTGAATGTCGGAAAATGAAGCAGTTCTGAGATATAAATTTTACGGACTTTCTATGCCAAATACATGCATTAAATACCTGCGGCCGATAAAAAGTAGCCGTAACTATAAAGTGTAGAAAAGAAATTAAATCGTCCCAGGAATTTTAATTCGCTTGAAATAAATTTGAATCCTCGCCGAAATTACAAAAAAGAGAGAATTCATTTGACCAGAATAATCCAAGTTGACAGTATCTGGAGAGATTTAAAAAAAAACTAAGTCCCACGATAGACACAGCGTAATCACTGGAAACTGTAAAGCCGGTGGCCTTATAGGCTTGCACCTCAGCCAAACTTCATAGAATTGGCAACGAGTCGGGACTACGCTGTTCTCTTGTGATCTAGGGTTGGATCTATAGACCTTCCGTGAGCCTGGAAAGCGCTCAACAATTAATATATAATTAATGTTTTTCTACTTGCTCATTTTGAAATGAAAAATAGTCGAAGAATATTTAAGACTGGAGCTACATAATGTAGTGCGGCTAACTTGTGAATTTCGCCAAATCAATATGGATCCAATCCGTATCAGAAATCGTTTACAATATTTTAAAATTTTTAACTATCTTAGCTTTCGTTGAATACCCAAAAAAGTTCAGAATTTTTAGACCAAACTTAGAAGAAAACCCCAACTCAACTAACATACGAAATATCAAAGATTTGTATAAAGCTCTTAACTGTAAAGTCACTCTGCGTGTACAGAGTATCTCAGTTCAAAAGTTGTCGGCCCTTTCCTGATAGTCTTAGAGAAAAACGTATTTATGGCATGAGTATTTTCATTATAGAATTCCAAGATCTCGAAGCTAATTTAGTTAAGACATGCAGACAAAACTTGGCGAAACGATGAAGTAGATATTACTGACTATACACTATTATCTAAAGACACGAGCAATTCACTTGGTTAAAAGCCAATGATATAATCTAACCAATACATCGACATAGTAATGAAAAACCACTTATACACAGACACATTAACGTCAAATATCAGCCATTATGCAGCAAATCATCTTAAAATTAATTACTTTTCGCCTTAAGTGGGCCGCGGGAAGGAAAAAGAAAAAGAAATATTCTTACAAAGCTTATAATGTACGAATGAGTGGCGTTTTATAATGAAGCCAAGACTTTGAGCAAACGAGCCAATGAATGGAGTCAATTGGGTTTGAAGTGTTTCACCGAGCGATTGCGTGAAAGGCGAAGAAGAAGAGAGAAGTTGCTGAAGAGGCATAGGTACTTATATGTAGGTAGCTCAGGTGCAAAAACAGCTAACGGCAGATGTGGCACTTCATGTTTATGTACACAAACATACAGATATATGTACAGTGACTCCAAATACTAATTGACTGACAGCAGTTTGATGTACAGGTGACATTTTAAATGATCCCCACTAAATACAGGAGAACAAATTTTTGGTGTGTCACGAAAGAAATGTAAATTTTTAGGTTATGCCGAATTGCGATTAAGCAATAAGTAAGTTTTACGCAAATAAATGTGAAGAAGCACAAAAAAAAGAAAAATAACGCTCGCAGTGCTTGGAAATTCTCAATGCCAAATTAACGCTTTTGAATTGCAAATAACGTTGAGGCGTTAATTTTATGCTAATTTCATTAAGATTTTCGCAATGAATATGCAAACGTACAAACGAAACAGTCGGCTGACAACTCGAAGCCATAACCAGCAGAAGCAACAACACAACACACGCAATACGTGTACTTGTAAAATAACGGTAGTGAAGATACATTTTGTAGTGTTGCAAAGAAGTTTTCGTTGTAGTGGTAGCTAGTGATAGAGAAGTGGTGAGGTGGGGAGACGGTGGAGAGGGGCGAGCTGGAGTGGCGGTATGGGGGGTTTAGTACGCAATGTTGCTTTGTGCTCATTAGAGACGCCAGCTCAAAGCCGATAAGCAAACAATGAGATAATAATAATTAAAATTTTAATTTGTAAATTATGTAAGTTAAGCCAAGGCAGGACGAGAGAGACGAGATTAGCATGGTAACTAAAGTTATTATGAGTTAAAACTAAACCAATGCGGCCACTAAGTGCTTGTAGGAAGTGCGGACCAGCGCGAAATATGGCGAAATGCGTTTTTAAGCAATCGAGGAAGATGTGTTGTGATTAATATTATCTTAAATCCAAAAACCAAGAAATTTATAATTGCATTAGATAAATACAGGTAATGATCAAAGGCATTGTCAAAATTTTGAACGAAAATGCGGCATCCCTAACAAAATCATGTTTGTTGAAAAAATTTACACTTCAGTGTGCCTTAAAAATCGAAATTATTATCAAACATCTTATGCCATATATCTAAGGAGTACGTGTGAAAACTTCAAGTCAATCGGTTTAGCAATTTCAGAAAAAATTTTCTAACCCACTCTGAAAACAGTGTTTCGATAAAAACGCGTTGAAAGTTTTGGCAGCCTTACACTGAATTAAAAGGTTTTTTAAAAATGCGAAGTATATATACGAAGTGTGTTCAAAAAATAACGTGAATTTTTTATTTTTATTTATTTTTTTTTTTTTTTAATTCATTTATTCGTCTACATTCATGTTGTCGCCTTCAAATTAGTCACCATTCGATATTAAGCACTTATGCCAGCGCTGCTTCCAATCATCGAAACACTTCTCAAACATAGTTTTTGGGATAGACTTTAGCTCTTTCAGCAATGTGTTCTTAATGTCATCTAAATATTAAATTTTGAAAGTCCCGTTATTTTCAAAACACTCTTCGTACTCAAAACTATTTACCGAATCAACTTCGAATTTTATTAGAATATTTTTAAATATATATATGCATATCTTTGGATAGTTGACAACTCTATTGTCAAATATGTCTGTCTGCAGTGGCCGTAATCACTTTCTAGAAGGCTGTTTTAAGAGTACACGTTTATTTACACGTGTATTTCCAATTCTACTTTATCGGTAGATGGCAACCCTATTCCAGAATACGACGTGTGTAAAAACTTTCCAAACCCTCTCAGCTTAGTAACCGCATTGTGCTAATTTAATACTACTTTTTCCTTATTCAAATTCAAAATACAAGGTACTCGGGTACCACAATTAGAACGAAAACTCAGCTAACGACGAAGCGACTAGGTTAACATAGTACAGACGTAAATATAGTTTCTTAGAGGTAATTACTGCATCTGAATCAAAAGCGTCAGTGAAGTCCATAAACCAGATACAACCAATGACTATTATATATTTATATGCATATACATAAATATGTATATTTTGAATACCACTGTGTTTGCATAATACTCGCAAATCCCTACAGAGGATAGAATTTCTGCTGCTTGTCAAACACAAGTGGAAAATAATGCGCTTCCACTATACAAATAAAATAATTATTACTTAAAGGAAATAAGACAACATTATAAATATTAAAAAAGTGCGAAAGGGAAGAGAGAAACGAGTGAACAAAGAGAGGATACATTAAAAGTACCGCATTGTTGATTATTAAGTCAAGTTCGTAACTCGAATAAAAGTAGCGCATAAATAATGCAAAGCACAAAAAATTATGACTATCAGCGACAAACAACAGCAAAAGCAAAAAAAAAAACCAAAAAAAACGAAACAAAGCTGAAAGCAGAAGAAAAAAAATACAGCACACTCGAAAGAATGGCGTGGTGGCGTGGTATGTTACACCTGGATTTGTCGGTAATTTTTATCATCACCAACTTTTCACGCCAATACATAAAACATACTCGTACATGCATACAAACATATATTTATATATGGAAGAAGTATGTTTGTAAATAGAGCGCATTTCTCAAAGTATTCGTAATTTTTCGCTGCCAGCGCCGACAGTCGACGGCAGCGTTTTAATGAGTTTGTGGAAGTTTTGCGCAACTTGGCAGAATTTATAAGGTACGATGCCAAAAGTGCAAACAGCAAACGCCAAACGCCACTAATTGGTTGCGTTGGTGGTGGCATCAACTTTTGCTGCAACCGCACGAGTCACAAAGCGTGGACCACACGATACCCACCGCCACTAACGGCGTGGCGAGGCGTGTTCGCTGGCAATCTCTAATTCAAACTTTTATTTACTGAACCACTATTGTTTCAAAGTTTTCACGCTGTATTAGCATACATCGTTAAATAAAAAATAATTCTCCGCCTTTATCTCTAATTTTTATTTTTCGTACTATTTGAGCGGAAAGCACCAAACATTGCCACACTTATTGGAAATGTGTGGACTCCCACACATTCGTATCTCTCAAATGTGCAACTTTCCTAACGGCTTCCGTCGTTCGCTTTTTGGTAGCGAATGCCCACAGGCGAACTGCTGTCCTCTTTTTCCGATTCGATTGCCGTTTTGTACTTCCGTTTCACCACACCGCTTCTTGTCTTAGCACAACTTGGTTTCCGCTCTCCTTCTCATTCTAGCATGCCTTATTTTTCGGCTTATTCTAATTTTAATTAAAATATTTGTAAAGTTCATAATTTTTCATATCTTCGGGTGGTTTCTTACATTAACGATTTGGGTCACACCCATGCTCGGAATATACGCGTGTAGCAACTTTAATAATTTTAATTTTAATTAAATAATTTTTTCGGTCTTTAAACATATACGACGGTGTTTTTTTTTCGTTCCAACAGAAATTTCGGACTAACTGATCTAGTTTGATTCGTACATTTTCACGTATTTTAATACTAATATTTATTACGGCCTTTTAAATAGACTCCTAAGCCAATACAAGCATAAGCCTTGGCTGTAATGGCCTTCAGTGAATTCAGCTCTTTCCAAACACAAATAAAATCTTTACTACGAGCTAAGTAAGCTAAAGCCTAGATAATTATAATATTTATAGATCTTTCTCTCACATTGATTTCAGAGATCGTTTATTTCATACTTTAACAACATAAATTCAGAAACTTTACGACAGTTCTACACACCCAAAATTACTCGGATTTTATCCGCGAATTAGTTAGGTTAAATTTTAGGTCTTAGAGTCACCACAATGTTGTAGCACTTACACGCATTATTCTAATCCAGAGTGATCTAAGCCCTGTCCGCCGGCATATCTCCACTCTGTATGAATTAAATGCATCGTTTAGATAGATTTAAAAAACAACAAGTATTTACTCTTACACTGAAATATTTAGCATGAAATGTGATCCTTTCGATTGACTAAACAAAGAGAGAAGAAAATTGTTAGCATTTATTAATTACTCGATTTTAAATTAAAAATTTTTTCTCAATTTAATTAAATTTCTATCAATATTTTGTGATTTTAATATCTTATTATTACACCTTACAGCACTTGAACAATCTTTTGGAGCACTATTTGGAACCAATGAAACGCGAAACATTCCTATCGAATGCCGAAATTAATGCACTCTTTGGTAACATTCACGAAATTGTCACATTCCAAAGGCAATTTCTGCAAAATCTCGAAGAAGCGTTGGAATTGGAGCCAGACTTCCATAAGTTCGAGCATTCAAGTCAGTTCCGGGTAAGTAAATAATGCTTGCTTAAATATGTATTTTATGCTTCATAGAATTTAAAATTAACCGTAGAATTGAAAAAAAAGTATGGAATATTTTTATGTTAACCTTTATACAAAAGAAATATTATAAGATTTTAAGATTATTATTAGAAGAATTTTTGTCGTTATATTTTCTATTGAAACCTAGTTAAACCTTTAACAGGAAAGCAATAATGAAAACTAATGCCGGAAGCAATTAAAAGTATTCATACCATTGCAAGTTGCACTAATGTCTGTATAAAAAATTTGAAAAATTCGTTCCAATAATAATACTAATTAAAATTGTTTTAGAAGTACATTCGTTTTAGCCAATTATATATAGTTTATAATTATGACCCGAAAGTTCGCTAATTTAAGTCACGAACGTGGCAAATTCTTAATTAATAGACAAAATGGATTTTCGACAATTATATTTGGATAGGCGTTTTTGGAGTCTTTTAGGTTAAAAGATATCAGTGAGCATTAAAAATTTCCCATACAAATAACACTTAAGAAAATGTGTTATTCTTAAAAATACCATAACTTGTGAAAGAAATAAAATGTCGGAGTAGAGTAAGCATAAAATTTCCTAAAAGCCCTACCTCAGCGAGGCATTCTGTTTTTCAAAAATTCATGTATTTAAAGCTTTGAAAAATTAAAAATCATTAGTCTTGCAACTTTCTGCAATTCCGCTAGGACCAGGCACCCAAACCAGCATAATCTTTAACTCCATGCTAAAGTAAAGTGTTCAAAAACTCTGCACTAGCCTTGAGAGAACAGTCAGCGGGCTTAAGGATGGTATCGCCATGGATAGTCACCACTCTGTAGAATGCTGCTCATCGGAATAATAGATTCGCGGCTACTTTAATACAACTTCCGCTTGAAAGATGTTGAAATACTTAAGAAACCTGAAACTGAAGTTGATAAATGGTTCCCAACAGTGCACTCCTCCACCAATCCTTCACGGAAGCCTTAATTCATTAGTAAAAACGCTCACCGCTCATCTCATCCGGGGACTGTTTTCCTCCCCTCGAAGGTATGTGAGCAGAGAAAGGACTGCCAAGTCTAGGCTCGGTGACCTGGTAATTCAAGTATTTTGGATTGAAACTAAAGTGTGAGGTTTCCAGGTTGTCCACTCTCGCTGTTATATGAATAGGTACTCAGCTTCTCTGAGGCTAAGAGCAACATTCACGCCATGTATTACATATGTTATACATTAGCGGTGTAAGGCATTGAGCGCCGTAGTTGGTGTGGTTGGTAATGCTCCGCACATGCTAATGAGATCCGTTTAACACTCACTAATTTCTTCGCAAGCAGAGTCTTTCACAGCGCCTGCCATCATACAAAAATTATATAGAACATTACAGATTATGGTTTTAAAGAGCCAAAAATAGAAAAAATTAATTTTTTTTTTATTTTTGACTCACCGTTAAAGTTTTTTTTGTCGGTAAAGCCCATGAATATACAAATAACATAGTTTGCTCGAAATTTGATACAGTATTTCAATAAATTACCGTTAAAATGATCATGATTGTATTTAAAATAATTAAACGCCTCCACTATTGCCTAGCTATTGAGTTTTCGTTAAACGCATAACTGGTTGGAAGTATACAGGCATAGGTATTGTAAATAAGTGACTTATAAGCGCTTAATACACATTCAAGTCTCAAGTTTTACTTCTCTGTATATTAATATTTATTTTTCCAATATGCAAGCATTCTTGCAATCGAAAAGAAACTGGAAACACTTGTGCCAGAGTTTATGAGCACAATACCAATTTCTTAGCTGAGTAGTGAAGTGTGGGTTTCCGTTACATTTGTTGCCTGGAAAAACATTTCTCATGCAACTTTTCCACATTTATTGTAATCTTTGCTTAACTTACTTTCAACGAGCGATTCACCTCATTGATTATACGAGGGACTGCTATGACTTTGCTACCTGGGCAGAGGCAACTCGTAGATTTGCCTATTAGCGTAACTCCAACTGGCGAATGTCTACATGTCTCACTGCAACTGTTTTTCTTGAGCACAATTGCACTCGCGTACCTCCCCTGTACTTCTATGTTTCCTCACTGACATTTCATTAGAAACGATAATAAATTTTGTTCTATGCAGCAAAAGAGCAAAACAAAAAAAAAGCAAAGCAAAGAAAGGCGGAATGCAAATGAATAAAGGAGCGGAAATCGTAAAAATTTTCCAATTTAAACACAATAACAACAACAATTGCAATACCGAATAGAAACTTCAAGGAAGCACACCCATACACATAAAAGCAAACAAGCAGCGAACTACAAGCTAAAGCGCCGTAAATAATTACAAAAAAGAACACAATAGAGCAGAAGTTGTAACGAAATACTCATAAAATGGAGAGAAAGCAAACAGTAAATATATAAAAAAGCACAGTTAGTACTTAGAAGCAGCCGTTATAAATCCCGTTGCGGAGCACCAACCACACATCTACAAAGATGCTGAAGTGTGTAGTGCTAGACTATCAAGGCATGACGTTGTTGTTGTTGTAGCAGAAATACTAGCCGTGCCGGTTGGCAATCACGCATTTTCCACACTAAACACCAAAGGATATTTAAATTGTTGCACCAACTTGTTTGACCGTGTTAGCTCTGTTAGTTTTGCTTTGTTTGGCTGCTGGTAAGCAAACAAGCGCGGAAGTGGAGTAGTCGCAGATATACTAGAGAAATATCCATAAAACGCAAACAAGGGTAGTTGGAGAGCTCAGTGACAGATTTAATTTTTTGAATAGCCGAGTTCGAGTTGAGTGTATGACTACTAATAGAAGAATCATGGTTTCAAAATCCGTCTGAAGAATATTCTAAAATTCTACAAACTTGCAATCTATCGGAAAACTCAATAAAAATATCCATCGAAAATTCGTCAAAGTTTAGAGTTCATATGCAATAGAAATCCTCATAATTTCTGAAATAGACGTCATATTTGCCCCACAAAGTAGATTTTTTAAATTTCTTTATATGGCCGAGTGCAAATAAGTACAATATGTGACTACTAATGGACAAGTAAGGGCTGCAAAATCCATCGGATTAGCATTCTACAAATTTTCAACGCCCCTCATGCATCGGAAAACTCAAGACACACATTTGAAATACAATAAAAAGCTGCACCAAAAATGTTTCAAAGTTTAATCATCATTATATACAAGACTGCTCCCTTCAACTGTCAACTGTGAAGCGGTACTTTTGACAAGCTACGTCATTACATAAACTTTTGACAGCTAGTGAGTTTTATTGTAGACAACTCTAGATCTTATATGACATGAGTACTTGGAAGAAGCCGAGCTATATTCCAACTATTTGACAATTTTAAAACATTGTTTTCAGAAACGTGGTTGCAATATGTATCTATATATATCCTTATAATTTATGAAAAACCAATAAACAATCAAAGGTTGTCTAGCGACCATATATTCGCACAGAAAGTGTGTCTTTTGAATGTATGCAGGGACTTGTCTAAATAATCTCTCGAAAAATATGAACTAGAGGATCTCAAAAAACTAGTTGGGAAGCTAGGCGCGCTTTTAGGTGCGAAATTTATGGAATTTTTTTATAAACGATAAGCACCCAAAACCGACTACTGTTTAGCTTTAAAGAATCCAGTAGTTGTGGAAAATTGTGTCCCCTTCCAGAGACGGTTGTATTTAAACTGAAGAAAAAGCATAATTATATGCTATAAATTGCTCGCTTCCCCAATATATTCGACGGAATAACTATGTTAATTAGGAGAACTAATCGGGACACTATAAAGAGAAGATTATTCTTGCAGATTTCGAAAAAATATTAACAATGGTTTCTAAAGAGGGCTCACTGCATTCAAAATAAAACTGAAAACATTTCTGGGACGATGCGTAATAGAATAGATAAACTTGGATCACTAACCAAAAAATAAGTTACAAACAAACTCTAAACGAAATTCTTCAAACTAAAGAGAAAAGCGGTTTTCTAACCTTTTCTTATTCCACAAGCTATCAAACCACCATCGTAAAATCCTGCTTCTTTGTATGTAAAGACAAGCAAAACTCACAATATCCTAGTGCCTAGTGCCAACGCCAGCGCGTATATTCGCTCACTCACACTTTCTTGGCACTCAAATGGACGACGCAATCTTTTTCCGATTTATGTATTTGTTACGACCACAGAGAATGGCTTCACTTGATTGCGTTATTTGTTTGGCTTATAGCGCTATAATTCTTCTATTGTCTGCTCTTAGCTGTTTTCTAATAAATTACACAATGTCTAACTTTCGTTGTTGTTGCTATACAAATTTATTTTAAGCAAATATTGAGTTTAATTTGCTACTCAACGCGCAACAATCAACTTGTGCCGCAACACTTCTATTTATACACTTTTATTCATATTGCAACAATGTTTACCGAGCAGAAATTTCATTTGCTTCGGTCATTGCTTTGTAGCTCAAAGGCATCTGTATTTGTTTTGGGTTGATAAGAAAATGTTGTGTGATTCCACTCCTAAAGGTATGCTATAAATTATGTTTTACCCTTTTTCAGTTGAGTTTAGTGTAAAGTTTTTGGAGTTAAAGGTTATGAAAATGATTTTTTACTGGGCCAAATTAGATATGCCATAGTGGAGGGATAATTTTCTTTAAGTACAGAGCTAATCACTAACGGAATTAGAAACTCCCAACATCTAAGCGAAACCACAGTTATTTTCTTTAAAATAGTTTTTTTTAAGTAGTTAAACAAGAGATAACTCAAACATCAATAATCATACAATGTTAAGAATTTTCAAACCTAAATAGATTGGGATGCATAGACATTAATGCCTCCGAAAATTCACGATTCTAAAAACCAGCCACTGAGAAATTGTCATCATCAAATTTCTTAGTAACGAAAGCAGATTTTTAAGTCTCAAAATTTTTAAATGTTGAGTTGCTTATAAAAGATAGTAATAAACCTTTGGACTACTTAATAATAGATTAAAAAAAAAGCGCCAGCTTCGTAGTCAGATTCCATGGAAATTCGAATGCTCTGTGGACTGATGTCTATGGAACGCTCTTCTCTTTCACACATGCTCAATGAAGAAGTGTGCTCTCCCTATTCAGATATATTAATCCAAAGGCTTTATTTCTGCATTTGCAGTTCGCTACGCAATCTAGTAGTAAGCACTTTTGAGTTTCCGACTCCATATCGCATTACTGGCAGTTTGCCCAAAAGCTATATCCATATTGATTAGGTGCTCCTTAAGTCTGCAGTGACCAGTGTAAAATGCCACTAATTTCCGGAATTTGTCTCTGGAAAGGTTTATAGTAGTCTGCTTAAGCTTTGCGAGGTTATAACTTACCAGTAACTGCTTTGCCTGGCGCATGTCTGTAGTTATCTGAAAAAAATTTAAAGTATTAGCCGATCATGGCAGAATGTCCGATTTATGTAAATATATTTACACTAAATTTAATGGAAATGCCTGGAAATTCAAGATACATCATATAAATATTAGTTAAACTCTTAACTACTGGCTCACCAAGAGAAGTTCAAAGCATAAATGTAAAACAATTTTTATACATACATATGCATTACGAACACATATGTCTCTTTATGTAAATATAATAGGTATATAGTAGTCATATACTCGTTTTTTTAACCACATGTATGAGCGTGTGAGCGTTTGTGCTTAATATGTCGTCACATGAAAACTTCACTCCTCAGGTGTCTTCTATCGCTATTCAGGTATGCATTTGTTTGTTCTATCTCTTTCGTTACGTCATGGAACAAAAGGTTTCAGTTTAATTAAATTCGCATTAATGACATCATTATGGCTGGCGCTCGGTGTGGTGAGTCAGGCGCGAAAGGGTTCGTAGGGAGAGGAGAAATGGAGGCGCGCTGAAAAACTGCAATCAAGACAGTTGAATGGGTTTGCTGCAGCTAAAGCTTTCTCCGTCGTTTTACTTCCACTTCTGCCGTCTATGAAGCTGTCTAATTTTTTTGATGCTGCCGTCAGTTTTTTTCATTTTCTTTTTTTGTATTTTCCATTTCTGTGTGGGGATTTAATTTACTCCTTTTTGTTTTATAGTCTTTTGTTGCAATTTGGAACGACAGTTGCATGGAGTTGAAACAAAATGCATAGGAATGAATGGCCGAGCTAAGCAATGGTGTAGTCTATATGTTTTAACTATGTATATAGCCTTATATACTTAGAGTGTATTTATGCATGTATGTATATCATATTACGGTTATATACTATATATACAGCTGCATCATAATTACTTTAAAGGTAGCGAGTTTGATGGACTGAAACGAGGCTATATCCATGTGTGTTTGTTTGTTTGTATATCAGTAATCCTCGGTGTACTTAATTACACTTTCAATTTAAAGCTGTAGAGCTCATGAAATTACTTATTTGATTTAATCGAAGTCATTCTTTCGCAGTACTTCGGAAAATAAGTTCAATCAATAAACCAATTTACACATTAAACATTAGCTCTATCTAAAATTCAATTCGATAAAGCCAAATCGAAAATTTTTGCACGTTTTGACTTTTAGACCGAATCTTTTGGTTTATGGAATCCGCAAACCAAACTCTGACGGCATTTTTTCTAACCACCTTACCTGCGAGAGAGATTTGTATGAGTAAAAGCTGCTGAAGGAAAGAGGCTGTGAATTTCTTTACGGATAAGTCAAAGCTTTTGAGAAGGCTGATGGAGTGGTCAGGAACTCTCTATATCATCTTCAGTTTCAGACTTATTGATTACTGTAGCGTTTTTCAAGCCGATTTTGCTACCATTAAAGTAGAGTTAGATTTACTGCTCTAGTGTAGCCTCCATCACAGAAGTAACCCAACATCGTTATCAATGGGATCGGCATGGCAATGACTATTTGTAATAAGACCATTGTGGAAGCCAGGCCATAATCGAATCGCAGGTAACTGCAAATCTGACGAGTAGACAAAGAAAAGCACTCCAGGCCCTGCTATCAGTAGAATGGAAACTGGTTTATGCGCTGCTCTCTTCGTGCATTCTACTACTGCATAACTGGGCTTTGCGGAAGTTTGGCCAGCGCTGGGCTACTATCAGTTGTTATGCCGTCGCAAGATTCTTTTTGCCCAAGATCGATCGCAAGAGATCGAGTTAGCTATTTACCCTCAGTAAGATTAGCTTCTCGCTAGTTGTGGGGTAATTTTTTATGGCTTTTCAGGACTACATATAATGGTTCAAACGCTATCCTCATCTTGAGAACCAGCCATCGAACCTAATCGACCAATCGCCTCTTTTAGTAGTGCCAAAAATTTTAAACAAAATTTCAAATACGTAAGCCATTTTCTAAACTCAACCAAATCGTGACATAGAAACCTCTTAGAAATTCATAAATTCTTTCAAATATGCAGCAACCCTCCAATGAATATTGAAGACTCTATAATGAACTCTACTTAACTATACAAAATTTGTATTTAAACTATTTTATTATTTGCAGAATGTGCTCTTTGCGATCGGTTCGGCTTTCTTGTACTACGTCAACCATTTCAAGCTCTACTCATCATTTTGTGCTAGTCACAGTAAGGCACAGAAGGTTTTACATCCAAGTAAGTACAATTCTTAAATGCATTATATATAAAAATACTCTCTATGAAATATAATATATAGCCAAAGTACTTGTGGTAAGCTGTACGATATACTTAAAGACTGTAGAATTTTCAAAATTTTAAGTTACAACTGTGTAGGCAATTAGAAAGTAATTTCCTGTTGATAGAGCTTATATTCTGTGGTAAATCTCTTTGCTTCGCTTATTGGTTCTTTACTCAATCGATGTTTGGCTGCACCCTACGTAAGCTTACAGCCAATAATGCAGTCAGAGGTGTGCAAAGGACTGAATATTACACTTGATTTCACTTGCTAAGCTCTGTTCCAAAAGTTCATAAAATTGCGTAATAGTTACAATTAAGGATAATTAAGAACGCACATAGATTATATATGTTTTTTTTTTCTTAAAACAAAAATCATACGAAATCATTTTAATAGAAAAACCTTAACGGTTAATGAAGTTAGGGGGGGCTTAGAGGTTTTTGATTACCTACTTAGGGTTGGTACTTGAAGTTATCAAAACCGGAAGTCAGAAGATTTATACAGGATAAAGTATTAAGGTTTAAAATTATTCGAAATATATGAAAGCTCAGTAAAAGCTCGTGCCAAAGTGTTAAAATGTATATATACGTACTAGTCCCTCAGTTTCTGAGATATCGAATTAAAATATTGCAAACGTCCCTTTCTTCCAAAGAAGCCGCGCATTTGTTGGAACTGCGGATAACGGATCACTATAGCATTTAGCTGTCATACAAACTGAACTATCAAAAACAAGATCTTATATGGAAAACTTTTTTATTTAACAACATTTCTTTACGAAATAAGGCATGCATTATTGTCCAAGGCAGGTCTACAATCTCCAAATTAATTGTTCAGATCGTATTGCTATATTATATAGCTGCCATACAAACTGATCGATCCAAATCAATTTCTTGAACGGAAACTCTTTTATATATTTGAAGAGTATTATATTTGCGGTGTCATTTATTCACGGATACTTATTGAACAGAAGTTGCGACTGTGAGTATAAATGTATTACTTGTTTATTGCAACAGACTGAAAATTCCATTATGTGAGCAACAAAATCGAATTCCGATTAGTTTACAAGAAAACACATCAAATTGGTGAGCAGAGGAAACACATATATGTATGCAAGTATACACACATGGTACAACAACTTACATGCAAAAACAACTCATGAAGCTATCGTAAATTTATAAGCAAAATCGTTAAACACTGTTGCTAGCATTTACCTCTACTGTTCGCCCCATTTGTGGCAGAATGAGGATTAGACTGCTAACGGCACTGCATCAGGCAGTCTAGTAACTATGAAAGTTTGGAGCACACAGACACACACACATGCATATGTAGCAGTAAATGTACATATGTATAATATATTTATTGTAGTAATGTGCTCTGCATTTGCCACCGTGGGTCTGCCGTGACAAACGTCGCTTTGTTGTTTTAGCCTTTCTTTGTGCCAGCTGTGGGAGAACATTTCAATTTCACATTTAAATTTAGACATAAAATGTGGAAAGTTAGTTTGGAGTTTAACTAAACACATATGCTGTCATCTACTTGTGCAAGATTCTTAAATCCGAATGGTACTTTGTTTTAAAGAGGTGCTATAGTTCAGTTCAAATAACGATTGTTTGCAAATGACTCGAGTATATTGACTTATGTACCAGGCAGACTTAAAAATTCACATAATTTTTATGAGCAAAGCCACTAGAGAAAATGTTATAAGATAAAAAAGAAAATTTGGTGAGTTAACACTATAGTGAATATACGAAAAATAGGTAGAAAAAGTAACTAGTCCACATAAAGATTTTTAATGACCATAACACTCTAAAGATAGCAAAAAAATAGAAGCTCTATAGAAAGTGACCACTAAGTTAACGTTGAGACAATACATGGTAAAATTAAATAAAATGGCATGCATTAAGCTTCGAATTGACTCCACAACTATCGTATGCCCTGGGTTTGGCAACAAATGACTTTTCCTTTACTCAATACGAAATAAAATGCTCGCTTCAAAGAAATTTTGCGTTTTTGACGAAATAGTCGCAAAACAGTGAAGCATATGCGGGTTTAACTACAAAAATAGTATCAGAAAGTTATCGCCCTCGAAAACAATTATTGTGAATAAAAAATTCGAATATATATTTTTTTTAACCATCAGAAAGTATAGAGTTCAACAAAGGAAAAGCATACCGATTATTTAACAAAAAAGTAGATATTTTGATGTCAGAATTTTCTTTTGAAAATTAGAGTTGTAAAAGTTTAAAATAAAAACCAAAAACTTTGTTATAATAGTTTTTCACATACATTTTGAGGTTATGTGGAAAAAGTGTCTACGCGAAAGTTTTAAATTTTTTTATTATCAACAACTTTACCATATCATGCGTTTTTATAGGACTTTTAGTTTTTCCGTAAATTGAGATAAACCGTTTTTTATCCTTAAAAACCCAACCACCTTTCCTCCCAACTACTTTCCAGCTTCAGATTGAGCAATTATTAATTATTTATTTTCCAATGGATTTCATTCTACCATTACTTATTATATTCGGAACAGGGTATATCAGGTTTGCCAAGAAGTTTGCGACACCCAGAAGGAAACGTCGCAGACCCTATAAAATATTTATTTAAATGATCATAATCATGACCATGTCCCTCTGTTCGTTGGTCTGTATGAACGCAAACCAGTCCCTCAGTTTTTGAGAAGAAAAGAGCAGCCATAAAAACTGAACGATCCAAATCAAGTTCTTGCATGGAAAACTTTTTTACTTGGCGAAATATCTTCACAAAATTTGGCATATATAATTGTTGAAGGCAAGCCTACATTCTCCGATCAAAATCAGGTTCTTATATGCAAACTTATATATTTGTGAAGTGTATTCTAACTTCGGTACAACCGAAATTAACTTTTTTTCTTTTTTTTAATATTTTCAAATCTTTTCGAAAAATTCTATATACGCCTAAAATTGTGCTACTTAAATTTTGTTTGTAAAGCTCTAATGATTACAATTGTCGCATACAAGGAAGTAAAAAAAATTGATTGTTTGCACAAGAGGAATACGAAAATACGCTGAAAAACGTTTTTTTAATACATTTTGATACAGGTTATGCTATTTTTGTGTAAGCTTTTGAAGAATAAAGGTCGGAAGTTCAGAAATGAGTAAACACCTAAGAAAATAGCGCTTACTTTTTGAATTATTGATTTGATTGCATAACTTAAATATTGTTTGTTCACATTAATGAATTGAAAGGTATTTACGAGTATGTTCAAAGCAATTTTTCCCAAATTAAGTTTATACCGAAAAATAGTATTTGCTTCCCTGATATGTAATAAAGCACAGAACACTTTAAAAAATTGCGCACTAAGTAAGAAACCTACAAAAATAAAATTTTAAAGTTGCTAAACTACTTAACTTTCACATACGTAAATAAACTCTTCGCAACTTTCGACAAGCACATATGTAATTTTAAAACTCCTTTAAAAACCTTTAAATATTAAGAATGTGTTTGGCATTTGTGAAATTAAACCAAACCAACTTTGGTCAATTTAAGTGAATTTTATAACAAGAAAGCTTCTGCATTTGTAAGAATTTGAGGCTTTCAATATTCCATTGCGAATGCACTTCAATATTACACATACGCACTGCAGACCCGGTGAAGTATTAAATACACTAAGCCACCAACATATACTTGTATGCACTTTAATTGTTGTGCTGCGTGTGTGCATAAGTGGGCCTGTACATACACATTTGCGCTATAAATTCACGCTGAAACAATGCCTCGTGCGTATTTACATTTTTAAGTGCCACTTCGATGTAATTGTAAGACAATTACAAAATATTTACAACATGCTTTCACTGACAATTTGTTATGCGCCAACATGTGGCTGCATGATAAACTATATTAACATGTGTATATATCTATATATAAATATGTGTACATATGTATATATGTTTCGAGTGTCTTGTGAAATGCATTCGGCTTTGTGGACAATGTGCAATATTTTACAAGAAACACACAAACATACATACGTATAAGTATATAAGTGTATGACATGCATTTGTTGTTTGTAGTATGCTGCTCGGTTTTCGGCAGCGTTTCGTTGCAGCACAAAATTGCCACCACACATTAATTTATTTTAATAGGCAACTTCATCTAATTGCACAAGTCAGTGGTTCAGTGCAAACTTTTGCATTTTCTTCTTGCAATTGCACTAAAGTATGTCATTCGGGCGCTAAGAATAATTGCCGGCCTATTGCATAGAATACATATATGTATATTAGGCGTGTCTAAATAATATTTCTTTTCTCATCTGTATAACATGGGATTTTTGGAGATTTGCCATAAAGAACTAAACTTAAAACCTTGAGAAAATAATATTCTAGTGAGAAGGAGGGGAAAATCTCTACAAAAACAGGTGTTAATAATTTTTTCGTAAAAATATTATTTTAAAAGTTATGCGCTGTTAAAGTTATACCTCAAATGATCCAAGAATTCATACGAGTACATTCTGAGTTGCTCATACGACATGGTGTACTCTATGCATGCAGTACATTTCATGCCTAACTTTAACTGCGTATAACTTTGAAAATAATGTCGTTATAAAAAAATAATTAGGACCTTTTTTGTTGAGCAAACAATTTTGGAATAGAATATCACTTTTATAATCTTGTGGGCTCATTTGTTATAAAGATACAAAATTTAATGCAAAAGATCAAAAAATCTCATGTTACATACGAGTACATGGAAAAAGTAATATGATTTAATCACGATTTAAATCGAAAATAAAGAGTCCGTTTTCTTTAGATAATTTTTTTAATGCAAAAAACTGAAACTTCAGCGGACGTTTGCAAAACAAAATTACTTGAGCATGAACGGGCACCCTAATGTGTATACATATATGAGCAGTTTAAATGCCGCAATGCTCAAATAGTCATGCCATTTCTTATGAGATTTTCTGGTGTTTAAATAAATGTTTATTTCA